TTATTATTATTATTATTATTATTATTATTATTATTATTATCATTATTATTATTACTATTATTATTATTATTATAAATATTATTATTATATTGTAATGATGTTGTTTGTACTGTTCTTTAATTTTATTAAAGAGGGCCCCTGAATATAACCTACTGTGCTAAACTAGAAGGGTTACCCTCTTTAAAGATGGTTGAGATAAAAAATTTAAAAAATAAAACAAATAAATACCCACTCTGACCCAAGACCCCTGTTACGCGCCTGGTGTCCCTTGCGCGGACAGGGGATGTGCCCCCTCTGAAGCTGGAAACCTTGTTTTTGCAAAATAAATTGATGCAATTTGCTATTATAGGCCTAATCAATAAATTCCTCATCAACCGATATAACCTCAAACATTCTTGGAATTGACATAATATTACTGATGTTCTACACACCCTTCAGTGTAAAATGTGGCTCTCTTTGCAAGCACATCTAACATCTAAGGAAAGAAGAGCTTAGATTGGTACCAGATAAAATAATTTTGCTATCAACATTAATACATTATGCTAATTTTCATCTTTGTAAGCGCATAAGACAGTGCAAGTTATTTCTGTGACAGTCTTTTGAAGTGTGTAAAGCTCCATTTTATCCCATACATAGTCAAAATATTGGGGGGAGGGGGTGGATGATACAATGGACCATCCCCCCTTGTCAAATATTGGGGGGTTCTTCAGTTTGGGGATTCGGTTTGATAGCATTATTTTGATCGGTAATGCTTTACGATCTGTTAGGTTGTTTTTTTTTTTTTTTTTTTTTTTTCCAGAAAGTAGTTTTTGATTCGTTATTGCACAAGCCTTAGGCCTATTGTTTCTTCTTACGATTTCTTTGCTCCGTCAATCAGCCTGGTGAGGTCTTTGGCTTCATTTATTTTATTATTTGAGCATGCGGCCTACCTTATCGAGGCATTTTAGTTATTGAGGCACATAACATATGCACCAAGGACTATCAAGAGCGATACAAGATACAAGAGCTATACATGACTGTCCTACTTGTAAGTGACAATCCCTTTCACATGATATTATGAGGTTTAGCGAGTGGAGTTGTTTTGGTCGTAAGAAAAAATCCTGCAACAGTGACAGCAATTAAACCAGAGACTTTGGGATTGGAAGGAAGCTTCTTAACCACCAAGCTATTCAAATCCACTGCAATCATTGTGATCTTCCTTGGACAATCATTAGTTTTTGGGCTTGGAATTTTTTCCCTACACTTCTATACTTTTGGTTACATATTGGTATGAAATTCATGTCTTGTTGTTGTTATTTAGGCCTATTGGATGTGTTTGACTCCAATATAATCTTTAATTTTGGGGGACTATTTTTAAATAATTTATTCTACATATTTTCTCGTAAAATACTTCGCACACCGGTTCCGTTCAATTTACACCCAGAAATTCTGATTAATTGAGCCAATATTCCTAATACAAGAATTTAGATTTAGGCGTGATTGTGTATAGGCCTTCAACAATCAATTCGCGATAGGTGTAATTTAGAAACCGCGTTAAAATAAAACAAAGTCGTAACTTTCAAACCAATTTATTAAACAACACAGTTCTTACACATTAAAACATTAGGCCTATACTATCTTGTATGCTACGGTACTATGTATATACATAATATAAATTCACTATTAGACTGTTCTTTGAAATTAAAAAAAAATGTATTGATTGCGTACGGTATATTTCATTTCATTTCATTTTATTCAGGAATTAAAATCAAAATTACTTGAAAATAAAACAAATACAAAGAACAGATAAAAGATAAAGAACAAAATAAGACATTAATTCCTAGGGTAACCCAAGAAAGTTTTACGATATATAAAACTTATTTCCATTGGGGCCCTATATGGCTATTATACCTCTGTTGAGTTTATTTATAGATAGGCCTAATTCCGGAATTACAAAAAAAAAAAAAATAATATACACAAACTTAACAGAAATTAAGAATGTTTAGTATCTTTTATCTTTAATATCGAAAATCATTTGTGAGACGAAAGTAATATCAGTCATGCACTTGCATTGGGCTAAAATAATAATTCCAATTTCAATTTATTCAAGATTGCCTCCAAAAATGAAGAGTATATACAAAAGCAAAACCGGGGCACGTTGCCTACTCTGGCGAGATTGCATTGTGTTTGAGCGTGGTTATCATACTGCACGCAAACCCCATTCCAATAATCTGAAAATATTCAAATAATAATAAAAATTAAATAGACTGATGACTGTGATAGTTCCTTGTTTTGTTTATATTTTTTTTCTTATCTTGGAAGATTAACGTATGAGTGTTTGTATTTTATACCTATGGTCAGCAACATACCCTATATAATTAATATAGGGACTTTAGTATAATAAGACACTAACAGTTATATATAAAATACGGTAGGGATGGATTATAATATGGACGAGTACTCCCTCAGCCTTCCACGTGCGGAGCCTCCATATGTGAGCTAACCTATATTTACATCACGTTGCAGCATTGGCGGTGAATGTTACATAGTTCCGTTAAGGGCCATTTTTTTTTTTGCTATTTGGAGTACTTACATCGAACAGCAGAAAACCAATAGAGATTCCACCGAGGAGATTGCACACATACGAGATGTATTTTTCGAATGCATCAATACAACCCTGTATAAATTAATAATAAAAAAAATTACATACCAATATAT